TACTGCTTTCCCAGGCCATTAGCAGGGAGCTGGTTCAGAAGTGGTGCAGTTGGGACACAAACTGGTACTTATATGGGATGCTGGCATTGCAAAAGGCAGCTTTACCTGCTATGCCACAATGCCAGCCCTTTCTCCAATATTGAATAAAATTTAAGAAAACAGGCAACAGCTATAAACAGACATTTTTTCAGAGGAAGACATACAAATGGCCAACAATTTCACGAGAAAATGTTCTACATCAGTATCATCAGGGAAATGCAAATCAAACCACAATGATATATCATCCCCATTCTAGTTAGATTGGCTATTCTCAAAAGGACAAAAGATGACAAGTGCTGGCAAGGATGTGGAGAAAAGGGAATACTTGCACACTGCTGTTGGGAATGTAAATCAGTACAGACGCTGCGGAAGGCATTATGGAAGTTCTTTACATAATTAAAAATAGCAACATTAAATGATTCAAGAATCCCACTACTGCATATATATCCAAGTGAAATGAAATCTGTTTGTGTTAGAGGTATCTTCACATCCAAGTTTTCTGCTGGGCTATAGCCAACAAATGGAAAAAACTCAAGTGTCCATCACCTGATTGTCGCTCCCCCTCTTCGTGGAGGAACGACACAGGACCCTGCGCTGTTCTTTCTGTCTGCTCGGCCCTCCCCGGGTTTGCTGCTGGTTCTTCCCGGGTTGGCTACTATCCCTTCCACCTCCGTGGAAGGGCAGTTCCCCCTGGCCACATTCCCCACTTCCGCAGGGGAGCGGCACACCGCCGGCCGGTTCTCTCGGGGGCTGCACGGGTTCCCTTAGATGTTCCCCATAGATGTTCCTGGTGCATGCCGTCTCTCTCCTCCTTTATAGTCCTCCTCCGCCAATCCCAACTCGGCTGCCCACACGCCGAGTACGCTGCTCTCCAATCAGGAGCAAGTCCTACAGTTAATTGGTTGAACTGGAGGCAGCTGTGCGGAAGCTGTTTACTTCTCTCCCAGCGCCATATTGTGGGAGAGCAGATGCATAGAATAAGTCTTAATTCCAGTAACTTAGTCCAGTCCGGATTGCTCCCCACAGATCCCCCTTTCTTTTTATTTTTTGGCGTTGATACGCGCCTGTCTTCGGTGTCCCGCGGCACACACTCTGCTCTACTTGCTAGAGTTGCCACAGGCTCTTACAAGTCCTATCAATCAGGCAAACCGAATCCGGGTCCTCTCTTCGCCATGTTGTGAGGAGGTTTTTAGGCGCTGATGCGTGCCTGTGTTCGGTGACCTGCGGCTCACACTCTGGTCGAGCCGCCTGCTGGCACTTACCGCCTTAATTAGGCAGACCGAATCCAAGCCTTCTCATTGCCTTTTTGTGGGGAGGCCTTACTGATGTTAATTCGTGCCTGTCTTCGGTGACCTGCGGCGCATAAGCTGCTAGCCGCCCAGGTGCTCATCGCCTCACTAATCGGGCAGACCGAATCCAAGCTCTCACATTGCAGTGTTGTAGGGAGGCCTTTCTATTTCTCTATTTCTCTATCTCCGGGCATTCCTATTTCTCCCATTTTACTTCTATCTTCCAGCATTCCTATTTCTCTTTTACTTCTAAACTTCTGTTTCTCTTATCCCAGCGGCTTTCCGGCTGCGCCTGCCCCGAGGCTGCTTCTCGGCAGCTTTCCGGCTCTGAGCCGCTTCAGCCCGCGCCTCTCTCATCTGCGCAGCTTCCCGGCTTTGCGCGGCTTGGCTTTGCGCGCTCCGCGGTCTCCACGCCCTTCGCGTCTGCACCACGGCCTCGCGCCAGCCCCGTTCCCTATCTATTCACGCCCCGTGCTCTCTCTGCACACGGCGGCTTCCGCGAGTAACACAGCGTAGCTTACGTGTCCGCCACTAGCATTCAATCTAAGTTCCCCGGGCTAGCCTGGCGAATTCAACCCAGCATACGTCTCCGCCCCACGATTTGGCTTCCCGTCCTTTGCTCCCCGGGCTAATCAGACGGATCCCAATCTGGCTTACGTTTCAGCTTCTGGTTTCAACTTTTCACCCCCCATTCCCGGGCTAACTTGAGAACCCCAAAGTGGCTTCCGTTTCCGCCTTGGCCTGCCCCCCGCGGCTTCAATTTCCCTAACATTTTTCTCTACCCGGTATGTTTCCCCAAGCTTTCCTCCAACAATATTCCTCCCTCATTTCTCCTGGCCTCTCCCCACAGTCCGCGTCCGAGTCTGTTTGTTCTAGCTTTCACTTTCGCTTTCGCCCTTAGAGATTTCTCCCAGCTTCCCCCTGTAGTCCGTATCTGAATCTATGCCTAGGCTTTCAATAGTTTCTTCCGGCACCCTTTTCGTCCGGCTTTTCCCTAGGCTGTTTGCTAGTCTCTCTCTCCGGTATTTTCCCAGTTCTTCCCGTTTCTTCCCTCTTAAGTTTGCTATCCGACCTAGGTTTCCTAATCCGAGTCATTTCTTCCCTCCTAAGTTTCATATCCGTCCTAGGTTTCCTATCCGAGTCAGGTTTCCTATCCGAGCTAGGTTTCCTATCCGAGCCACGGCACCATTATGTCGCTCCCCCTCTTCGTGGAGGAACGACACAGGACCCTGCGCTGTTCTTTCTGTCTGCTCGGCCCTCCCCGGGTTTGCTGCTGGTTCTTCCCGGGTTGGCTACTATCCCTTCCACCTCCGTGGAAGGGCAGTTCCCCCTGGCCACATTCCCCACTTCCGCAGGGGAGCGGCACACCGCCGGCCGGTTCTCTCGGGGGCTGCACGGGTTCCCTTAGATGTTCCCCATAGATGTTCCTGGTGCATGCCGTCTCTCTCCTCCTTTATAGTCCTCCTCCGCCAATCCCAACTCGGCTGCCCACACGCCGAGTACGCTGCTCTCCAATCAGGAGCAAGTCCTACAGTTAATTGGTTGAACTGGAGGCAGCTGTGCGGAAGCTGTTTACTTCTCTCCCAGCGCCATATTGTGGGAGAGCAGATGCATAGAATAAGTCTTAATTCCAGTAACTTAGTCCAGTCCGGATTGCTCCCCACACTGATGAACAAATAAAATGTGATACACACACACACACACACACAGAAACACTGGGATACTATTCAGCTATATAAAAGATGAAATCCTTGCCATTTGCAATAACATGGAGGTCCTTATGTTAAGTAAAATAGGTCAGGTATAGAAGGTGCATGATGTTACTCATCTGTGGAATATAAGAAAATTAATCTCATCAAGGTTGAAAGTAGAACAGTGGTGACCAGAGGCTGGGGACAGTGGGAGGGAGGGAGAAATGGGGCCAGGTTGATTAATGAATGCTGTTACAGACAGACAGGAGGAAGTTCTGGGGTTGTACTACAGTAGGGTGTGACAGTAACAACGTGCTGTATTTTTTTCTTAAAAAAAAAAAAAGCTTGAAGTAAATTTTCATCATAAAAAATGAGAAATTTTGAGGGGATATACCCACAGGTATGTTAACCCTGAGTTGAACATAACAGAGTATGCATGTACTGGGATGTCATGTGGTACCCCAGAACTATGTACAATTTTTTTTGATTCAGATGAAAACAAAGTAGAATTCTGCAAGCAAAAGTCTCTTGAATTATCCAATGTTCTAGTTAGCATGACAGTTTCTTGTCTCTGTCATAATTCAAAGAGCATTTCAGAATTTCACCGTGTGGCAGAATTGTGCAATACACGATACACATAGCCAGTAGAGACGTCCAGTCCATCCTGGAGAGCCTGCTCTTTCCAAGCTTTGGCTTTGCCTTTTACTTTTTTTAACTTTTTATTTACTTTGGTGCATGAATTTTTTTTTTTTTTTTTTTTGGACAGGCAGAGTTAGACAGTGAGAGAGACAGAAAGAAAAGTCTTCCTTCCGTTGGTTCACCCCGCAAATGGCCGCTATGGCCGGTGCTCTGCGCCAATCCGAAGCCAGGAGCCAGGTGCTTCCTCCTGGTCTCCCATAGGGTGCAGGGCCCAAGCACTTGGGCCATCCTCCACTGCCTTCCCGGGCCACAGCAGAGAACTGGCCTGGAAGAGGAGCAACCGGGACAGAATCCAGCGCCCCAACCAGGACTAGAACATGGGGTGCCAGTGCCGCAGGCAGAGGATTAGCCAAGTAAGCCGTGGCGCCGGCTATGAATTGTTTTCTTAACTTACTGCGTGGAGAGCTATGGTAGCAGACATGATCTAAATGAACTAACACTAATGGTTAGACTGAAATGCAAAGAGTGAAAGGCACATAAAAGTTAGACTAATATGTTCTGTTTAAAGATGTACCTGTGAGCTCACAGGCTCAGGAAATGTTAGAAGAAGCAGAGGGGCCAGTGCTGCAGTGCAATAGATTAATCTCCCGCCTGCGACACCAGCATCCCCTATGGGCACTGGTTCCTGACCCAGCTGCTCTACTTCCAATCCAGCTCTCTGCTATGGCCTAGGAAAGCAGAAGATGGCCCAAGAGCTTGGGCCCCTGCATCCATGTGGGAGACCTGGAAGAAGCTCCTGGCTCCTGGCTTTGGATCGGACCAGCTCCAGCCATTGTGGCCACTGGGGAGTAAACCAATGCATGAAAGACTTCTCTCTTTCTACCTCTACCTCTCTAATTCTGCATTTCAAATAAATAAAATCTTTAAAAAAAAGAAAAAGCAGCAGTAGAGAAGGAGCAACACAACCCTGGCCTTTGCATGGTTCATTGAGAAGAGTCATCTACAGTGGCAAAGCACCTCTAAGAATGAGTTAGCACTGCCCCTCACATCAACCAGCTCGGCCTACCATTCCTTCCACGCAGCTCCACACTCAGGAGATGGAGTCTTCTTTACAAGACATGGGTTTCCCATTTTCACATCAGGAAATGATAGACTTTGGTAAAGGTTTTTTTATAATTTGGGAATGTCCATGGTTTCTGCGTGTATTTTTCAGAGTGACAGGTGAATACCAGGGTGGCAGAATCATTGTCCCTTTGATGTGCAATTTTTAATGATGCTGTAGACAAAAAATGATTTCTCTAGCCCGTTGGTGAACAAGGGCCACCATGGTTATGGCACTTACTTTATGGAGGCTTGCAGCTTCTCACACAGGACAGCGAGCACAGAGACCACGTCGTCACACAAGGACTCCACTGTCGATCCTTCAAAACACGGAGGTGACAGCCATTAGATGCTGGGGGGCACCAGCAACTCCCCCCACACACTTTCTCACCCTCCACTTCTGCAATTTTTCACGACCAAATATGAGTGGGCCACAAAAATCATCTCAGAATCAAACATAGTCATTCCTTTCTACAGTGAAACACCCAAAAGATATCCCAGAGAGAAAATAATGAGCTGTTGCTTAGTAGTATACGTAAAATTCAAACCTAATGACAGAAAGTTTTGTTAATTTAAAAAACCACCCAATTGACTGTAATCATTCTGCTATTTAAGCCAGCAGGCAATGAAAGCTTCCCTTATTTTGACATCTTGACTTTCTGGATCTTCTGAGAGAAACAAAATACGGCAGCATGGGAAAGCCCTTGGAACAAAGAAATCGGAGAAGGGAGACAACACCATTTGGTCCCCATCTTCCCCTACTCTGTCTGTTCACGGCCAGTCAGACACATGGACTTTGTTGATGATGGAGCAAAAGCAAACACCAGAAAAATAATTGCTCCTTCCAAACATGTTCTAGTTTCTAAAACCAAAACTCCCCAGAAGCACTGTGGGACAAAGAGTGGAATTTGGAATCTGTTCAAGGCCATGTCCACAACTTGCTGTGTGAGGATGGGTAATCTTCAGTTTTCCTTTTGGCAAGATGGGATAAATCACACCAGTTGCACAGAATCGATAGGTCAAGTGAATAACAAGTGTACACATTTGGTTTCTAAAAGAAAAACCTATAAAGATCTTTATAAATATGGCTATTTGATGACTGTATTCATAAATGAGTACCCATGGAGCCAAGAAAAAATGAGAAAAAATAAAAGTAAAGTGGGTGGAGGGCAGAGGGAAGAGAGAAATGGCTGAGCCTCAGAACACAAGATCTTAAATGTAGGAGAAACAATAAGGGACAACGATAAAACAAATTTAAAAGAAGCCAAACCCGTAAGTGGTTCTTAAGTTGAATTCTAGACAAATTTTAAACAAAACCCTCCATGAATTTTTCCAAATGTATTTTTTAAAAAGATTTATTTATTTCTTTGAAAGGCTAAATAACAGAAAGGGAGAGACGGAGAGAAAGGGATCCTCCATCCACTGGTTCACTCCCCAAATGGACACAACGGCCTGGGCTGGTCTCCCTGCGAGTGGCAGGGGCCCAAGCACTTGGACCAACTTCTGCTGCCTTCCCAGGTGCATTAGCAGGAAGCTCGATCAGAAGGGGAGCAACTGGGACTTTGAACTGGTGCTCACATGGGATGTCAGCATCACAGGCAGTGGTTTAACCCAGCAGACCCCACACCAGCTGCCTGAATAGAGATGTGTTCCTGACAAGGGGATCTTGACCCCCTCTTAGTTTAGAAAATCACCCCACACTGAAGTGAAGGTTTTGCGATCATACAGCAGTCAGGAAAGGACAAGTGGACCACCTTGGAGCATTATCACTGAGAGCTTTAAAAGCTAGTAAAACCCGTGCACTTTTCTGGCCAGAGCCCAGGAACACGGCCAGATGGGACTGAAATAAGCTGCAAAGTGTAGAAAAGGACTGGGAGCATTTCTCTTTCTCACTGCCGTCCTTCCCTCTTTTTCTCCTAATTATGGTTCTTCAGCCGCTTCACTCTCTCTCCCTTGCATTCCCGCCCCTTTCCATCTTCTCCCACTCCTATCCCCCTCTCCCTATCATTCACTGGGCAAACAGAAAAGCAAATTTTCTCAATATTTTCAACATTACTGAATAAAATCTGAAATAAAACATATTTCAATTGTAATTGAATTGGAGTTTTTCATCACTCAGAAAAACAATGCAACTAAATTTATTTTTTTTAAATTGAAATTCATGCATGAATTTTTCATTATAAATATTTTCCCTGAACTTTATTTTAAAGTTATTTTATGTGAAAGGCAGAGTTACAGAGAAAGAAAAAGACAGAGGGAGAGACAGAGAGGTCTTCCATCTGTACTTGGCAAAGGCAGACTCTCTGTGATCAGATACCCAAGTGGATGCAATGACTGGGCTGGGTTACACTGAAGCCAGGAGCTTCTTCTGGGTTTGCCATGTGGGTGCAAGGGCCCAAGCACCTGGGCCATCCTCTGCTGCCTTCCCAGGTACATTAGAAAGGAGCTGAGGGCTAGCACTGTGCCTTAGTGGGTAAAGCTGCCACCTGCAGTGCTGGCATCCCATATGGGCACCGGTTCGAGTCCTGGCTGCTCCACATCTGATCAATCTCTCTGTTATGGCATGGGAAAGCAGAAGATGGCCCAAGAAGATGGCTTCTGCACCCATGTGGGAGACCTGGAACAATCTCCTGGCTTTGGATTGGCCCAGCTCTGGCCATTGGGGCCATTTGGGGAGTGAACCAGCAGATGGGAATCTCTCAGTCTCTCTCTATCTCTATCTCTCTTTGCCTCTCTCTTTGCCTCTCTGTAACTCTGCCTTTCAAATAATAAATAAATCTTTAAAAAAAAAAAAGGAGCTGGATGATAAGTAGACCATCTGTGACTTGAACTTGTGGCCATATGGAGCCATGGCTTTGACCCGCTGTGCCACAGCACCAGCCCCCTAAACTTGTTTTAAAATATTAAATTGATGGGCCAGATATTCTGGCACAGCAGGTTAAACAGCCACTAGAGGCACTCACACCTCAAATCTGAGTGCTTGGTTGAATCGCAGTTACTCTGCTTCCAATCCTGCTTCCTGAGAAATCAGCAGATAATGGACCAAGCATTTGGGTCCTGCCACCCATGTGGGAGACTCAGATAGAGTTCTTGGCTCCTGGCTTCTGCCTGGCCCAGTTCTGGCTGTTGCAGGCATTTGGGGAGTGAACCTGTAGATGGGAGATTCCCCCATCCCACTCGCTCTCTGTCTCCCTCTCTTTCATGCTCTCTCTGCCTTTCAAATAAATTTTTAAAGAATAAAATTTCTTGTCAATTATGTGTGAATCTTTATTTTGTTCCTGCTCCTGTGGGTCAGAAAGAAAGTCCCTTCACTTGGTTTTGTCCATGGCCTATATTGGGCTTATACTGCGTGACTCCTTACAAGATGACTCATTTATCACATGAAGACGCTGAGATTGACAGACACAATTCTGGGCTAATAGCACTGTGTGCCAGTCAGCGTTCTGCCACCCTCTACTCAATTCTCATTCCAGCAATTAAACCTGACTTTCATGGAGAACAAAGTAACTAAAAAAACATAACACAAGCAAAGGCAGCCTACAAGAAGGAGGTGTGTCACTGAGATGGGACAGGAAGAGATGTAGTTAGCATGAATGAGTATAGTGACAGAAGGAAGACAGTAGCTTATTAAATAACAGCAGGGAAGGCAAACCCGAGCAGAACCTCCAAGGAGCACGAGTAGGCATACAAGTCAGCACGAGATCTCCTAGATATCGTGACACCCACAACGGCAGGCACACGGCCAGCATTTACTCACAGGACCACTTTCAAAACTGAGCTGGTAAAAATCAAACCCATTACCTTGACTCCTGAATTCCTGTGGGACATCTGGATTTTCAATGATCTAGTAAAGGCGACACACAAGCAATTAGAAGACGTAGGTAAGAATCCCGACTCAGACAATGGAAAATTCTAGTAAATAAAATGGTGCCCTCAGTGTCTGGGGCTCAGCTTCCTTACCTATGTGCACCCTCCAGCTCGTCACATCATTTCATTATTCATGCTATTTAGGAGAAAGACGATGATGCGTGGGAATAGACTTACCAGTTGCAAAATAATGCACTCGGGAGACCACAAGCTTCCAGGAAGTTGAAGCCCTGTGGTGCTGGGTGTTGGATGCTGACTTGTGGCCATGCCTGCTGTAAGGCACAGCAGAGAACAGCTTCTCCCAAGGTCACAGATTACATTGTGCCTGGCACCTGGCAAAGGCAGACTCTCTGTGATCGAAGGATCAGGTCACTGGGCTTCAAAATACAGGTGCAAAGAAGCACCATCTTCCTATTTCACGGAAAGCAAGTTGACTTCCTCCTATGAGACCAGCCTCTCTGACTGCTGCTGGGCAGATTCAGATCCATGGGGATGGAGAAGGAACTTTGAGGGAAGGATGATTAAAAATAGTAAGACTTGCCAAGGCCAGGACAATACCATGGCTACTGAGCTGAGAACAGGAAGAAGGCACTTCAGCCTCCCGACATGTCTGCACCAGGAGATAACAGGAAGGCATTTCACACTAATTAACCACCAGACATGTACATCATCTCATGGTGCTGTTTTTTTTTTAATATTCTTGTAATAGGCACATATTTCTACTATCCTCCATTCTCGAATCTGCGGAATCAGCTGCTCTAAACCGGTTTTGGTGTGATGTTACGTCAGAGACTATAGCACACAGGACATGATTAGAATGGTATTTTCTGGAGGAAACACTTCTGCATCATGTTTAAGGTAGGCAAATTCCTACCCTGTCCCCTAGCTCCAAATATTTACCTTGGTAATTTTGCTTTGTGAAATGAGTAACTCACAGTTTAACAATGGCTATGGTCATGTAGTCAATTCATTAATAAAGCTGGATGATAAAAAAGGGTTTCTGAGGACACCAAATCGAAATTGTAGTCTGTCCTGGGTGCAGGGTGGGGATAGACAGTAGGTTGAAGATGCACTTCATGTTAATGCCTCTGGTGTTCTGAGTTATTTCTTTTCTTTCTGCTGTATTTGAGTCTTCCTGATCTGAGGTGGCCCAGGGTATCTTCTGGAAATGGAGTATGTTAAAAATCTCCACCTCTGCCCCAAGTAAGGCTTCCTGTCCCCCAAGGGAACACACAGCCTCCTTACAGCAAACCTTGCCATTCCTATAGACCACTCCACTTTAACAGCTTATCAAAAAAATACCTAATTCTTAGGTGGCAAAACTCGTATCTTCCTCTACTGGACATCACAAACATGTCAAATGTTAGCATTCTGAGATCTGTGGTTTCCTGGGACATGGAATCACATCTCCAGGGACTGCATGACTAATCGAAAGGAAGTGACAGGAACCACTCATTTTCCACTGTATATAGATTCTTGCTTCCATTTGGGGGAATGGGACCAGGAGGCCAATTCATCACACATCACCCAGGATAAAGGCAGGTGACCCTGTGGTACCATCCAGGACTCTGCAATGACACATGATACCACTCTTACTGAAGAGCAAGAAAGGCTAAAAGGCTGAGGCACTTGACGTGAGACCAGCACGAGGACAGGGACACATCACTCAGACACGGGACTTGTGCTGTCACTGAGCAGTCATCACACAGTGGAGGTGTGCACCTGCAGACAGCGCAGCCTGCGGCATGCCTATGCTACAAACCATCGCCCATGGTGCCCAAAATGGTATGCAGCATGGGACTGTACTCTCCTACTTACAATTCCAAAGAGGGTTAAACAGTAACATTGAAAGCTCTTTGAAACCACAAAATCCCATTTCAGTGTTTCGTCTTAAAACATAACATTGTTCATACTAAAGTATTATTGAATGCGGTCACTTAGCAAAGATGGAATAGAAATATGTATTCATGTAAGAATTCACATCTTAGATTTATGTCCGTCAAAAACCTTTTTTTTCCTCATGACATGTTGTCCATTTCTAGATTTTAAATTCTTTTAAATGAATATTCCCTTATCACCAGATTCAAATTCTGAGTACAAAAAATCATTTTTAACAGAGGGTAAGCTAAAGTAATAAAAATGTCTCAAATTAAAACAATGTTTTAAATAGAAATTTGGATTTCAGAAATAGCAAACACAAAAGAAAAAAAAATCAAAAGCTTTTTCCGTATTGTTTTCCACGCTGGTTGCCGGCACCCAAGCTAAGAACCTGTCCTGGGAGTCAGTGAGCAGGGCTTAAGCTCTGGCTCTTTCACCAATAAGCTGATTCATTTCAGACTTGCATTTCATGTCTCTGGGCTGCATGCTCTCATTGTAAAAGGAGAAATCAAAGAATTCTACTTAATGATCTACAGGGCTCCCCTCCACTCCATGATTTGCTACAGATTAAAACATGAGAAATAATTCAAGCTAAGCATAAAATATTAATTGGTACAGAATTTCTGAGATATTTTGAACTGCAACTGAGATTTTCTAGGGAAAAGAAAGTAGCAAATGCTGTTGCAGAACACATATTGCAGATTTTATCAGGATTTACATCTGAATTATTCCAGATGCAAATTTGAAATACACAAGGCACCAATTTTAAAGAGGATTCATTCTGTCATGAACACTCCTGGAAGACAAGGTACATAAGAAGCCATTTCTATTCACATTTTCCTTGAGAATACTTGTTTTGGACAATCTGCTCAAATGTAGATTGCAAAGCTGAAGTGGGCCCTGGTGATAGAGAGGAGGCAGGGTTTGCTCTGCCCTGATGCTCACAGCTGAGAGGTGACAAAGGGAACCCACACCCCAAGGCATGTCATGAATGAGAATTCCTTTTTCTTAATTTCCTATCTACTTCCAGCATTCATTATATCCTACTAATTTTCAAGACAAAATTTCAATGGGAGAAAAGGGATTTAAAAAGTCATTTTTTTCAAAATATGATTTAAAAATAAATTTTAAAACAAGGACTAAAACATTGGAAACCATAAAAAAAAGAAAAACAGCTCTTAAACCAACAATCAAAAGAGCTTAATTTAAGGAAGAACGGTTCTTCTAAAGCAAGCAAACCATTTCTAGAGTTTCCTGTAGGATACCACCGTGGCAGGAGGGCTGGGGTTGGGGACAAGGACACACAGCCAGTACCGAGATGACAGGGGAGTGCAGCCAGCTCACCGTATTCTCCTGCCTTTGTCGCAACTGCAGGGTCAAGTCGCTGAGCATCTGACTGAGAGTGGCCCGCACGGCAGTGTTGATGCTACGCTGGTGACAGCTACACGTGTAGGTCTCAATGCAGACCTGGTCAAGAAATAACACAGCAACACATGCATGCACTTGTAGGGACACGTTCACTGCCACCGTTCTTTGGCAGGAACCCAAGAAGATACCAAATCCCTCTTAGACAGAAAGTTAGCCTGATGAATTAAAATGACTGAACATATTTAAAATCCCTGGAAGTGTGTGTGTGTTTTTTTTAAACACTCCTAATTCTTTTTTTTTTAAATTTATTTGACAGAGTTAGACAGTGAGGGAGAGAGACAGAGAGAAAGGTCTTCCTTCCATTGGTTCACTCCCCTAATGGCTGCTATGGCTGGCGCTGTGCTAATCTGAAGCCAGGAGCCAGGTGCTTCTTCCTGTTCTCCCATGGGGTGCAGGGGCCCAAGCACTCGGGCCATCTTCCACTGCCTTCCCGGGCCACAGTAGACAGCTGGACTGGAAGAGGAGCAACTGAGACTAGACTGGCGCCCATATGGGATGCTGGTGCCACAGGCGGAGGATTAGCCAAGTGAGCCCCAGCCCCGGCCCCTGGAAGTGTGTTTTTAAACATTTGGGAAAAGCAGTGTTTCCCTAAAGATGGCCATTCTTACAACTTTATTCTTTCCAACATCAGAGGAAAAAAACAAATTAGTGGTTTTCAGTTGTCCAAATAATTCTGTCTAGAACAAATCCAGGTTGCTGGAAATTAACCAGGAAATTGCCAGCCTCACTATAATAATCCTTTTGTAAAATTAACCAGGTGCAAAGTAAATATTTTTTAAGTTTAATCTATCTTCTATTGAATACTTAACATTTCAAAGGAACATTTGAAATTTAATACTGTATTTGGAAACTAGCCTAGATAAACTCATTTTACAGTTAAAGAATAAGTTACAGTACTTTTTATAAGACTATTTAGAACACATGGATTTTAAATTCATTTTCTCAAGTGATGACTGCTGAGTATAATGGATTAAAGGTACAATAATTTGTACACATCTTGAAAAAAAGTGTTTTCATCCTTTTTGCATGTGATGAAATGGTTTAAAACACTGCAAATGCATTCAAATGAGTGCAGTGTTTCACTCTGATGAAACCAAATTCTCCATAGCCAAATTAGGCAAACCAGCACCCTTTGCAGCTCATAATTTAACAGTCTTCTTGCTACCCTACAGTTTCCTAAGAAGTCTATGTAACAGTTGATCTTTCTGGGCTCTAAACTCTGACATTTTATAAATTTAGGGGAAATTTTAAGCTTTAAAAGCATTAAAGATGAAAGAGTAGCTATTTTGAGAGCTGAACCGCATAGTTAATATAAATTCTCTTGACTATTTAGAGCCACACCGACTACACAATCTCCCTTTAAAAATCCCAGCAATCACTTTAGACCCACGAAAAAAGCACAGACGAGCAGTAGGCTTTTCTATAACAGTGCTTAAACAGATGAGAACTTCCCAAACATCAAATGTGTTCTTGCAGGTTGTAATGTCACCACTGGTTTTAGTTTTATAGCGGAGATGACTTATTGCACGAGGTATTTTATCAAGGGAAAATGTGTGACTGTTTACTAAGCTAAAAGTAAGAACTAATATAAGTAGTTCATTCTGCTAAGGTTGAACATTTAAATACAGAGTATGACAAGAGGATGTCTTGTTAAATATAACATTACCAGGTAGTTGATGTTATTACTAGCTTTAGGTACCCAGAAAGAAATGCTTAGCAGCTATCCTAATGACTTTGGAAGAATAGTTCTTTAAGCTTGCTGTAATAATAAGAATCTGGTAATCCAGTAGGGTTCACAGAGTTAGGGTTTCCATTTAAACTTGAACCCTGAATTCAAGGCCAACAATTTTCATCATGTGAATGTTTGTTCTTCCTGCACCTCAGGGCAGTACTAATCGGAGTACCCTGGATCAGAGGAGCTAAGAGAATACCAAGCCCAAAGGCAGGCGGAGTTTCTGGAAAGGGCTTGTAAATTCATCTTTCTGTCTCCCCCGTCTTGGATCTACCTCCCCATGCCCTCGGCTTTCATCACGGAGGACTGAAACTTGAAAAGCCCCAGTCCTGTGCCTCTGTCAGAGGTTGCACCATGCGTGTCAAATACCTTGTGAAAAGCCCCAGGCCCCTGATGACCAGGGAAGGCACGGAGACACAGGGCAGTGAGGGGGCTCACAATGGACACTGTGATCATGTCATGCATTTGTGGACATCCAGTTTTATGACATGCTAAACACAGCTGAGAGCAAAGATACAAATGGTTAATGAAGCGGGACACATCCATAGAGCAGAGAGAAAAACAGAGCAAGAAACACCAGCCTGCAGGCCATCCAGAAGCAACCAAAGTTTTACATCATTCTGTCAGCAGGCTGCCAGTAACAGTACTGGCCAGACCCAGGGAGGAATCACAATGATTAACTGCGAAGCAGCGTAGTGGAGTGTAGTAGATTTTCAATAGGCATCAGCCACAGTGACCACGAATTTTAAACTTGCCATGATAGATGCTGGCTTAGCTTTACAATGCACATCTTGCTGAACTGTGTATTTACCTTCTCTTTCTCATCTGAATGGGGTTGACGGCACTGTTTTTTTCAAATAGTGCATAATACTGAGTATGACATTCCAGAAGAGCTAGGATATTTCCAATTGGAAAAACTGTATAGAGATGCCAACTGGTTTATGGTCATTAAAAATGTAGAAAAGGTCAGAAGTTAAGCTCCAAGGAAGCAGAGGAAACGTCTTCTCTCTAGGGAAGACCAGCTCTTGTTGTTCATGTTAGCAAATTTTGGTCATCACTCTTTAAGTCTCAGCTCCATGGGGAATCACAGGTGACAACCCAGTTGCTAAGCTGTTTCCGATTCTTTCTGCAAGATGCTTTCTTCCTAAGACAGGTGAACAGCTTTGCCAGGTGAGCCTGACAGGAGGTACGTAATCACATGGGTCCTGAAGATACAAACACACACCCACACAGAGGGCTGAAGTTGTTTTATCATTCCAAGGAAACATGTGCGAATATAAGTCTGATCATCATGCCAAGTAGGGAATTTTGTTGGTTTTCCTTTTGGATCTCAATTCATAAGGAAGTTCTTTAAGTGCCAGGTTTTCATGGACAACTGACTGACACTGTCACAGTCCTCTTCCTACTCTATGTTCTTGGCTTAAGCTGGTTTATGAAAATGGTTCAGGCAGCCTCATCCTATCAATCCTGCACCTCTGCAGGCAGAAGCAGAAGGCATCCTGAGACCCAGTTTCTGTTCAAAGAGAAGCAGAGAGGACCCCGCGGAGCTCCAACATCCCGCAGACTTCCAACCCTTACAAATAAGGCCTCGGAGAGTCCGACAGCCATTGGCTAAAGGAAGGTGTGCGGACTCCTTGCAGAAGCCATGGCTTGCTCACAGCCCATGCAGCCAGAAGTAGCCAGGAAACAGACGCCCGAGAGGCGTCAAGCCAGAATAAAACAGCTGGGCCTCAGAGAGGTACAGGAAGCCTTTGGGGAGGGGCAGCGAAGTGCCTAAGAATGGGGCTCTTCCCCGCCTCTGGCGATCTCCACTGATCTGTGCTGGCCTCCTCGCTCCTTCTGGTGACGTTCTTGCCAGGAGGTGGGCGATACCTCCTCGTCTCAGAACTGCAGGATGCTTCCAAGATCAGTGGATCAGGTCCACTGTGCACTTGATTTCTGGATTGTATCTGGAGGCTGCTCCTTCCGTGTAGAATACTTTACTGGAAGGCTATCTCAGAAATAATGTCACCCAACCTGAGTCAAAAGGGTATCACTGAATATTTCAAGAGTTATAAATCAGTTCAATTTAAAAAATAATTCCAAGTTAGGGGTTGGCATTGTGGTGTAACAGTTTAAACCTCTGCCTGGGGTGCTGGCATTCTACATGGGTGCCAGTTCAGGATCCAGCTGCTCCACTACTGATCCAGCTCCCTGTAATGCACCTGGGAAAGCAGCAGAGGATAGCCCAAGTGCTTGGGCGCCTGCATCCACATGGAAGACCCAGAAGAAGCTCCTGGCTTCAGCTTAGCCCATCCCTGGCATTGCAGCTGTTCGGGGGAGTGAACCAGTAGATGGATGAGTACTGGTTCTGTCTCTCTTCCTCTCTCTGTAACTTTGCCTTTGAAATAAAATAAAAAGTAAATATATTTTTTAAAAAACTACCTTAGTGACAACCAGAACAGCTTAATCAGAATCTTTGCTGTTAGGTGTAACACTTTTTAGGCTGTCCAGGGTAACAAGCAGAACTCTTACTAAACTCTAGATCCTCTGATAATTAATACTTACAAAATATAAATGATTAAGGTGTAAAGATAGACAAGATAGTAGCATATTCCTTTTTTCTTTTTTTTTTACAGGCAGAGTGGACAGTAAGAGAGAGGAGAGAGAGAGACAGAGAGAAAGGTCTTCCTTTGCCATTGGTTCACCCTCCAATGGCCGCCACGGCTGCTGCGCTGTGGCCAGCGCACCGCGCTGACCCGAAACCAGGAGCCAGGTGCTTCTCCTGGTTTCCCATGGGGTGCAGGGCCCAAGCACTTGGGCCATCCTCCACTGCACTCCCAGGCCACAGCAGAGAGCTGGCCTAGAAGAGGGGAAACCGGGACAGAATCTGGCACCCTGACCGGGACTAGAACCCGGTGTGCTGGCACCGCATGTGGAGGATTAGCCTATTGAGCCGTGGCGCCGGCCGTGGCATATTCCTAATCGCTACTTAACTCTATGGTCACAAGAAAAAAAAAATAAAAGAACTGCATCCATACATCTGCTTCATATAGCAGTTACCTAAGTAAATACCTCAGTAAAAGTAGACGTCAAAAGATAAGACTCGTAAGAATTTCATTTGGTTGTCAATTTTTATGGCAAGATTCTGCGAACATTTTCCAAGACCAAAGATAGCCAGGAAATATAGCATAATGGCTCACAGCACATGTTTGCAATGTAAAAAGTCTGGATTTAAAAGTAGAGCAATAGGAACTTGGCCAAGTCAATTAGCCTCACTTTCCTTGGAGTTCTAATCTAGCTAGGTTGTGACAGAGATTTAAAAAGAGCAAATACCAAATGCTATTTATTGTCATGCCGTATGCACTCAACAACTAGCAGTTATGAATATTAACCAGTGTTTTGAAATGGAGAGAGAGAGAGGGAGATGACTGGAAGGAGTGAAAAAGGAAGGCCCCTAAAAGGATGAATCTTAGAGGAAAAAACAAGGGGCTTGGAGACAGATTTTGCTTGAAGCTGCCAACAGGCTACAGTAGCAGACTATAAAGTTTCCATGAGTCGGCCAGCTCAAACCAGCAAATACACATTGACAACTAGGCTTTCTGCCGTTGATAAATCTAGAGAAGAGCCTTCAGCAAACATGAAAACACGTCCCAAATCTTCCCAGCGGAAAAGCAACATTAGCCATCTTCAAAGTGGCTTCAGGGTGTTACTGGCCACGGTTCCATCTTTTCCTTTATCCCAAGACTCCAGCAATTTGTGCTCTGCAGTTCTCCCAACATTAGGGTAAGCTGTCCTTTGAAAACTCAATGTATTTGCTAATCTGGGAATAAGACTAAGACAAGCCTTCAGCTCAGCTTTCAATCAGCGAAGCGAAGGATTAGGTATCCATATGGAGTTTTAGTAATGATTGCTCATGGAGTTGAACAGAAAACACTTGCTAGGTATTTCATAGTTGTCCATTTCACAATTACGTAGTATTTCTTATTTTTCCCTGTATTGCGCCATTCTGAAAAACTTTCATTATTTCCATTTAATTAAGAAAGTTAACGTTAGAAACACAAATGAAGGCTGCTCTCTTACTTACAATTTAAGAGCTTAATTACTTTTTGATAGGTTCAGCAGTACTTTGGGGGAAACAGTCTTGGTTTTTTTCATACCTAAGTACACTTCCCATTTCCAGTTCAACAGGTTTTAGTGCAAACATTGTCCTTGCATAATGGCCAGTGAATGCTGCAGTGAGAAAGCAGAGACGGCAAGATTCCTTCTCCCCCCTTGCACAGGGTGTCAAATGGCTTATTCCAAGGTGTTTTTATAGATGGCTTCCACATTTCAAAAGTGACCATGCAAAACATTAACTAATGACTGGCCCCCCACAATAAAGCTTCCTACTTGGATTGTCTCTCTCATGTCTAATTGGCACAGCCACACTACAACACAGGGACCACTTGCTGGTTTCTTTTACAGAGAGCAAGCAGGAGGCAGGAGAGGTCTCCAAGCCAACACCACCAGGAGCCGAGAGAGCCAGGCTCCTCATCCATTTGGTGGACTGCATAGTCCATTCTTTTTTCATAGACTGTTCTTAGGCTAAGATTTTTTTCCTTTGTGGTTTGGGTCAAGCCAACTGTATTTGGACGTGTCACCCTTTCTGGACAGGGCTGCCGAGTCTTCCGCCAGCTTCCAGATACTCTCAGCGAATGCTGCTTGGGCTGACTGTGGCTGTGTGTGCTCGGTGCTCGGGAATCGCATTCTATTTTTTTTTTTTTAAGATTTTTATTTTATTTTATTTATTTGACAGGTAGAGCTACAGACAGTGAGAGGGAGAGACAGAGAGAAAGGTCTTCCTTCTGTTGGTTCACCCCCCCAAATGGCCGCTACGGCCCGTGCTGCACTGATCTGAAGCCAGGAGCCAGGTGCTTCCTCCTGGTCTCCCATGTGGGTGCAGGGCCCAAGCACTTGGGCCATCCTCCACTGCCTTCCTGGGTTCACAACAGAGAGCTGGACTGGAAGAGGGGCAACTGGGACTAGGACCCGGGGCCCACATAGGATTCCAGTGCCACAGGCAGAGGATTAACCAAGTGAGCCACGGTGCCGGCCCCGGGAATCGCATTCAGCATCATGCAGAGATTCATGTCCAAACAGATTGCTGTGATGATGATCAACACAACCTTCCCCCCTTTTCTTTGAGTAGCTAGGGTTCCCTGGCAGCCCTCACCTCCCGAGGGTGTTAGGACTCCTTACTGTCCCTGCTCCTGGGCAGCGACACACCAAATGTCACATTTTCCTTCAGGTGGCAAGGGGAAGACCAGCCTCTTACATGCTGGGCTGCTTCTTGCTCCTTTCAGAAATGACAGTGTCCTTGGAAAAGTGAACCTGCAAACAATCGGAGTACTCACAGATGTCAGTTTGCGTTCAACTAAAAAAAACCCAACTATTCCTTTCATCACTTATATAGAGTAAAACTTATAAATGTGTTAAAGTGTTTTATCGGGGCTGGTGCTGTGGTACAGCGGGTTAACGCCCTGGCCTGAAGCGCCTGCATCCCATATGGGTGCTGGTTCTAGTCCTGGCTGCTCCTCTTCCAATCCAGCTCTCTACTATGGCCTGGGAAAGCAGTGGAAGATGGCCCAAGTCCTTGGTCCCCTGCCTTCGCATGGGAGACTGGAAGGAAGCTCCTGGCTCCTGGCTTTGGATCGGCGCAGCTCCGGCCATTGCAGCCAATTGGGGAGTGAACCATTGATTGGAAGACTCTCTCTCTCTCTGCCTATCCTCTATCTTTGTGTAACTCTGACTTTCGAATAAATAACTAAATCTTAAAAAAAAAAAAGTGTTTTATCTCCAGAGACATATATTTGAAGTGATTTATGTTAACATGACAAATCAGTTGATGAGCCACTGTTTGCTTTTGATACACATAAAATTTTTCTACCTGTAGTTCATGAACTGAAACACATACCATCATAAAAAGAACATGTATCTGCTAATATAGTGAGAGCTAACAATTATGTATTTTTCCCCATCATTTCAGAACTCAGAAAATCATTGCCTCTTTAGGGTCTGAATGTGTACTCTGATCAGGGCATACAAATCCTATAGATATTCTTTTCAAGAAATGGAAGGCCAATCCATCTGAGTATATTCACACAATTTGGAAGTGATGTTTACAAAAGCCAGAGAATTGAGAAGCCAGCTTGTCTGTTGGACACCTTGGGAGTCCTGGAAAGCGCCAATTTCTCTAGGCTACAATGCAGATGGAGAAGAGAAGGCTTTGCAATGACAATCACAAAGGCACTTGCCAGGGTTTGGAGATGGGCTGGCTTTCATCAGCAAACATCTCTCAAATTTGGTCTCATAGTCATTTTTAAAAATCAAATGCTTTCCGATGAACCTTAATCAAATGCTTTTCGATGAACCTTAGGAAAAACAGGCTGAGAAAGCAACACACCTGGGAACAGCAGAGTAGGAGAACCAGTACTGTTACTCGCACAATCAGCTAAGCAGCCCCAAGCGTGCGGAGCAGAGAGACACACAAAGGGTGGTGACCATGGCATGCTCCCACGAAGCAGTTTCTTAGTGGAAAGTGGCCCCTGGAGTAGTCAGAGAAGGGCTCTCCCCACCGCTGGGGCTCGCTTCCATGCCACGTTCACCCCAGCAAGGGTAAAGCTGCAGCGAGCAGCAGCACAAACACCAGCAGCACTCACCTCCGCGATCTTCAGCACAGCACTCCCATTCAGATCAAACGTCGGGGTGTAGGTGATGCACAGTAAAACCTTGCGCACGCCAGAGGTGGGAGGCGAGGGAATAAAAAGGCAGAGATTAATACACCGCTCATGGAGTCCCGTTTTTCTGCACTTGATGTTTCGTTCTGTCCCACCTACCCGCTCTCTAGGTAGGGGCCACACATTGCCTGGTAAAATAGCTCTTGGACTTTAAAAAGCAATGGCTGCTGACCTTTGCCCACTGAAGGACTGCTGCAAGACTGGCCACAAATGCCATTCTTCAACCACCCCAGGCGGGCTATCCAATCATAACAACAACAATAAAAAAAAGCGATAGTAGAGACTGCAAACAATGGCTAGGCTTTGTGTTAGGAACCTCATGTGAATTACCAAATTGTAATTGTAAGCAACACGCCTGAGGTATGAACTCTGGTCACCGACTCCATGCACTGAACTACAAGGCCACACTGTCTCCATTCTGTCCCAGACTCAAAGGGCACCATGGTTTTCTGTTCCTCTCCCCTGCCCAAATCCAAATGAGATGAGGGAGTCTTTTACGGCATATTCCTCTTCCCTCCTGTAATGTCCTCCACAATGCTGCATGGGATTTACTTATTTTGTTAGTCCCAGGGTCCCCTTTTCCCCCAAGCTATAAAGACATGAAGGTCATGACATTTGCCAGATGGTGAAGAACCATTAAACATTTCCCTTTCTACACAGATTCATTAGGAGACTGATCAATGAAAGCTCGTGGCATTTAAGGGTTGCTTCTAATTTTGTAGACAAGAGGCCAGAGTCTGCCCCTCTCATCTGGCTTCTGACTTCCATGGCTGTGGAACAGAGATGCACAATGGCTGGTGCCTGCTCCCCGATTCCAAACCCAAGAGCCACGTCTGCCCTTGGCCTGCCAGTTCAGGAGCCAGCACCGCAGCCAGACACGTTCCCCGGACAGAGGACATGCACCTCATGCACCTAGTCAGCTCCCAAAGTGCAACAGTAGGAAAGGACATGAGATCTCTCTTGGTCTCTGTCTCAGGCGTTCCCTCGGCCAACCCTCACAACAGGCTCCCCTTCAGAGAAAGCAAATGCATGTGAATCTGTAATTAAAGAAGGAAAACAGGCATTTTTGCCACATCCCAGTCACAAGTTAGATATTAACTCCTCAGTCCTTTGATCTTTAAGGTGCCTTAAATCTAAGAGTGGACGCCAGATAAAAATGGGCTCAGGGCTATGGTGGCCGAGAGTGATTGCAAGAACAACTGACTTTGGCCTCATGGGAAATGGCTGCCTTTGGTTTAATGAGGATCTCTGGGCACTGCAAGGTGAGGACAGAAGGATGCCAAGGTCAGTGGGGTCACCAGCACCTAACCTGTGCTTGGAAGGAGGCTCTGTCTTCAAAGCCTGTGTAGGGCACAGGGGTGGTCCCTTGGTCTGAAACCCCCATCTTTGGCTCCTTCTGTGCTCCTCATGTGGTTTATTTATATATTTTTAAAAGATTTTATTTACCTATTTTAAAAGGTAGAATGAGAAGGAAAGAGGGAGGTAGAGAAAGTCAGAGGTCTTCCATTTGTTGGCTCACTCTCCAAAAGCTCACAGCAGCTGGGGCTGGGCCAGGCCAAAGCCAGGAGCTCGGAACTCCATTTGGGTAGCAGCAGCCTTAGAATGGAAGCCATCACTTGCTGCCTCCCAGGGTGCTCATTAGCAGGAAGCTGGATCAGAGTGGGTAGCCAAGACTCAAACCTGCACTCTGATCTGGGATGTGAGTGACCCAAGTGGCAGTTTAACCCTCTGTGCCACAAGGCCCGCCCCCTCATGTTGACTCATTTGATTGACTTCCTTCAGCCTCACCTCGAATGCCACCACGTCAGAAAGGCCTTCCTCATCCCTGTCTCTGCAACAGCCTTGCTACGTCTCTGCCTTTCGCTTACTGCTGTGGGTGTGTCAGTCTCGCACACTGCTTGCTTGTTTCCTTGTTTATAATCTTCCCGATGGATTTTCTCACTCTATTGGGCCCTGAAAGGCCCCCAGGGCACTCTCCCATGCTGTCCTCTGTCACTCTCTTGCCACATTGCACAGCTTCCCTCTCACACCACGCTTCTTGGCGAGGGGGAGGAAGGCATGAGAAGACAGCTAGTGGGGGTGGTGGTCTTGGGAGGGCACTTGGTACACTGCGCTCGTGGTTTTGAAAGTACTGACAACAAAAACTGGAGACTGGGAGCACTTTGCAATCTGAAAACAATGATGGCAAAAATTAGTCTGAACTGGCCAATTACTGATGTTCCTTATGGATCTGCCAATATTGGCTGTCTGCCTTCATTTCTCTGTGGATTCCTAGCAGGTGCACTGGGGGAGGTTTATAGGGAAGTCTGCGAGATCAGAGCACTTTTCTGTGCACAAGAGCTGCTTTGTATTGCAGGAAGTGGGAGCAGCCCCTACAGGGAGGCCTGGGTGAAGGCCTTGAATTGTGAGAACCCAGTCATTGGGACCCTCTGGGGGACTTGGTAGTTCAATTCCCTGTGTTGCAAGGAGGGCTGGTAATTACAGAGAGAGGTCTCCAGCCACAGTTCACGGAAGATCCCCAAGCCGGACCCCGCCAACACTGTTTGGAAGCTTCTGAAGAATGGATTGCCATACCTCATGTCTGCCTGCCAGTATCCAAGACTCACTGAGCTATATGGCAAAACCACCCAAGGCAGAAAAGGAGTGGAAGGAAAGAGACCCAGGAGGACAGCTCCATGGGCTCAGGCAGTACACTGTGTGGAAGGCACTGCAGGTTTTAATTAGAGGGCTGAGGCTGGGCTCGGGCCCCCATGACTCATGGGCTATATTAAGGGCATGCGTCTAGCTGGAATGATGCAGCAGACAGAAATAACTTATCAAAAATGATAAATGAAGAAGCTGTTCATGTTCCCCAGGCCTAGCGAGTGCTAATTGGCTGGATTAAAACACAGACTGGGCGTGGGGAACATAGGGCAACAGCACACTCATTGGAGGCCTCTGACTTGCGTTCTATAATGGGAGAGCAGAAAGTTTGACATTCTGAGCACGTTCACCCCATGGAAAACGGGAGCGCCTAAATATTCAGGGCAATGCCACTGAAAATACATCTTTCCCAGGGCCACGGAAGCATATTGACGAGATTAGCACTGAACAGCAGGAACTTGAGTGACAGGCGGCATCTTGCTATCCAGGCTGCCGGCACAGTCGCCAGAAACAAGCCAGGAGGAAAACAGGGAAACAGTGGCAAAGAGGAAAAAAGGATTAGAATCATTAATAAAAATTCCAAATCACTTTTTAACAAGCCAGTCATTGAATAGTTGCTATACGCTAGAAGCAATGCCTTAATTTAAAATGTTGTATCCAGGGATAGGCATTTGGTGCCTTGGTTAAGTTGGGATGCCTGCATCCCATGCCAGAGTGCCTAGGTTGAAGTCGCTGCCCTGTTTCCAATCCAGCTTCCTGCAAATGCACACCCTGCAACACCTGCAAATGCAGCAGATGTTGGCTCAAGTGCTTAGATCCCTGCCACCTACGTGGAAGACTTGGATTGGCTTCTGGGCTCCTGCCTTTGGCCTGGTCCAGCTCTGGCTTTTACAAGCATTTGGGGAGTTAACATGGTCACCTTTGGAATGAAGAGGGACCATTGTAGGTGGGTAATGACGAAATGGACAAAGTTTCAGGTGTACCCTACCGACGGAGAACACCCTGGATTAATTCTCTCACTAGAGCAGGCCACAGTCACACCCAGGGTTTCTCCATCCGGCTCACCCTGTGCTGCAACACAGAGCGTGAGCGAGCAGGGGCCGTGACTTCAGAGCCACACACATTCTGGCTGCATGACTGTGCGATGGATTCGGTGTTTAATTACCATGACACTTTGTCTATGTCCTTTAGCCCATTTAAAATTCCCATCCCACCTCAAGGATGTTTACAGGTTAAAAAAAAAAAAGCATTTTTTTTTAAATGCACATATGGTGCATATCTTAAGACTGCCTTTTTGAGGCTAAACAAGCCTCATCTGATGTGGCTCATAGTATTCCAACCTAAAGGAGTTAGGCATGTTAAATAATCCACATTGAAAAGCATGCAGCTTTTGCTGGAGTTTGCATTCCACTTTCTGCTTTGTGTTCTTCCTTTCAGGCTCCCGTTGAATTCAAGTCATTCTTCACTAAGTTTCTAGCTTCTGTGCAATCACAAATATAAAGAAAGCAAAATCATTCACCTAAAAATCTCACCTTCTATTGGAGATGTTAGTGCCTGCCTAACGGTACTGTAGGGCTCACTGTCCTTCGTGCTATCACAATTGGGAACAATGTAATAATGTTGAAGTCGAGAAGACACAGAAATTCTGAAGGCAAATGAGATGATAAACAAAGGGAAAGACGCACAAAGCAAAGGAAATGCCAAGAGCAAAGGCATGCGAGTGTGACAGCAGAGGCTAGCTGTGAGGCTAGAGGTCAGCTGGAACCTTATTGCACATCAGCCAAAACGCCCCATGTGAAGCGTTGCATGCGTATTATCTCCGAACTGGTCAGGCCAATAAATCATCACCAAAGCCACACTTCCTAGGCTGAGTGGAAGTCAGAGAGATAAAGCGGATATTTAATAAGGCATGGCTGAAGTTAAAAATTGGCCCTAGTGATTTCAGGGCCATGAGTCAACAGCGGTACACTTAGGAAAGAGAATTTCCAAGGTGAAAGGCAATGGTTGGGGCTGGTGCCCATTAAGCCACCACCTGCAGTGCCAGCATCTTTACGGGAAACGATTCGTGTCCTGGGTGCTCCACTTCTGATCCAGTTCCCTGCTGTTGTGCTTTGGAAAGCAGTGGAGGATAGTCCAAGTGCTTGGGCCCCTGCACCCATGTAGGAGACTTGGAAGAAGCTCCTGGCTCCTGGCTTTTACCTGGCTCAGCCCTGGCCATTGCAGCCATTTGGGAAATGAACCAGTAGTTGGAAGATTCTAACTCTTTCAAATATATAATTAAATCTTAAAAAAAAAAAAGACAATGGTCACTTGTATTTGAAACCTTAGTATCAACCTGCCACCTAGAC